ACTTCCTGCCCCATATGGGACAGGAAGTGGCAGGAGCCCCACACGACTTGTTACCGTACTCCGTACTCATTCACCCATACATTCATTGTGTGTGTATGTGTGAAAAGTTACCATCACCCGAACCGACCAGAACCAAAGGTGTGCCTGCATGGCAAGTCGCTCACAATTTTAACACCCGGTCTATTCATTCATTCATTCCTTCGTTCAGACAAGCAGACATATCCACACGCCTCGTCCTGAACTGTGCTTCAGTCCTGCTAAGGGCCCCCGGCACTCGACCAGACTACATGTGTTCAAAAAGATACCACCACCCGAACCGAACCAAACCAGGGGCATGTTAACCACACCTTTCATTCGTCCATTCATTCATACATCCAATCATTCACGCAGACAAAGAAATGTAAGCACACGCGCCTGCCCTGCAGTAGTGTGGCCCGGCACAATGTAGCTGTAGTAGCTGGTACACAGTAAGCACAGTAAGCTGGTACATGCATAGCACGACCACCAGCATCTCGAGAGGCCTTTTCAGCGGCCAGCTACTAAATAATGCATGAACGTCACATAGAGGAAGGTAGCATAATACGAGCCGTCAACGATAGGACCATCACCGCCAACCGGACTGTGTGAACCTGTCTCCAGTGCGTCTCGCAGCACACTGACTGCCTTGACGCTTCCAGTTGAGGGATCCATGTCCAGGTCGGCCAACCTGTCAGTGAATGGCGGTAAGTCAGCCACAAACCAGTCTGTACCTAATTCCAGGTTGGATAGAGCCTACTTGAGAGTGGCGCGCTGGTTCTGTTTGTCCTTGTAGTTGAGATCCTGGGACGAGATGTTGACATGGGGCATGCGCTTGCTCAGCGCGCGCAGTGCAGGGAAGCTGATGAGGTATGGCCCGATCATCATCATCTTCCGGGGGTTGATGAGCTGGCGCCTGCAGCATGTGTTACAGCGTCGACATACGGAACCAGATGTCCCAGTCGCGGCACTCTTTCTGCATCACAGCTGACGTTCACACATTGCCTTTCACCCCCTCTTTCCTCCGCATTGCCCGCATCGCACATCCGCAGCCCTGTGTTCGTTGATAACTTACAACTGAACCTAACCGTGTACAACTAACAATCCGAGATTGGCGAAGTGGTACCGAATGCCCTGCCAAGGCATATGGAGTAGGAGGACCCGCACACGGGCGCATCGGCATTCGCACCCGCAACCGCATTTTGAAATGATTACAAGACGCATCCGCATTCTTGAGCCCTCCATCCGCCTTCCATCCCAACTTAAAACAAACAACTACCAACGCCCATGGAGGTGGAGGTGGAGGCGGGTTGTCGATGGCATCTGTCAGGTCGCCATCATCTCCTTTTCCCCCCTCCCCAAGGTCTTCAAAACCCTTTAAAAGGTCTCCGGATACCCGCCGTACTTCAAACCGTAACCGTCACTGCTGCTACTGCTGCTGCTGCTGCTGATGATGATGATGATATACCCCACCTTGAAGTAGCCTCAAGCTCCTTACGCTGTACACGTCAGTTAGTAGTTGGTCCGCAACCGTCGCGTACGACATTCCACTACGCAGTAGTGACGCCGACCGCAGGGCGCCGTACAGGCTGACCTCCGGAAGCCGTACTGCCAATCTTGCCACTAGCCTCGCTACAGCCTCCATGCAATCGGAAGTACTAATAATGTGATTGCTACTGCTGTTTCTGCTACTGCTATTTACACTGCGGCCGCCGCCACCGGCGGCAAATTTGCTGGTATTGCTGCTACAGCCCGCCCCACGGTGCTGGCCCCGCGTCCGGCTACGACCGCCGCTGCCGCCGCAGCTCTCGCCGCCGCGTAAGCCGCGGGCATTGCAGCCAACGTCGACGCCGACGGCACCGAACCTATGTACGACAAGTGTCGTACAGCGCGACGCACCGGTGAATGCGTCGGTCGACGCCTTCGTCGTCGTCGCAAGCTCTTGGAGCGCCCTGATGGTGGTGACGGCTTCGCGGGGCCCGAACTCCTAATTAGGACATAAAAATGCCACCAGGCCGCACCACGACAAAGAGGACGAATGGGATGTTTAGCTGTAGATACTTCGCAGTATTCAAAAAGTCGGGCAGTTGGTCAGTCGGGCAGGGGGTCAGTCGGGCAAATGACATGCCGGCATCTAACGAAGAGAGGAGAGCTGCGGGAAAAGAAAGCCGCCAACTGCCGACAATGAAGGCAATGTCTTTTTATGCGCCTCGTTTAAGTACGACATAAAGAAGAGTACATGCGGGTTTTCAACGTATGTATGCCATTTACCTAGACACATACAGATGCACACATATTGTAAACACGCATGTACATACATACATTCAGACACGCACACGCATATACATACATACATTCAGACACGCACACGCGCACACGCACACAGCACCAGCCCACCTCCGCCCGCGCAGTGACCACCCGCGCCATACTCGCCAGCCAGGCCCCGGGGGGCTTATGCCCCAGGGCGGCCACCGCCCACAACGCCACGGCCATTTGAACCGGGTCTAAACACGCCCCCACGTCCTCCCTTCGCTGGCGCTGCTGGTGCTGCTGGTGCTGAGGGTCCGTCCTCTGCGGCTGCTGCTGGTGTTGTGGTGGGTACGACACCGCCGCCACCGTCGGCGGCGCCGTCGTCATTCGTTCCTCCACCTCCGCCAGTACCCGGTCCAGCCAGTACGACTCAACTCGAAGACCCAGAACCCCCAGCCGCCCTATGCCGTACAACAACGTCGTAATCTCCCTACGCGCACAAATGGTTGTGCATTTATATCTTGCACATCCATGTGGATGTTTTAAAATCATTTTCATATTTTGACAAACCTCAACCCCCCAGGAAAAAAAGGAGAGGACAGGGGGGGAAGGGGAAATGCAGTCGAGGACTACCCGGAGACCGGGTAACACGTCATGGCGCACACGGTGTGTATTGAGCATGTATATGCCGTACACAGCGCACGTGTATGCCGTACACCCTTCGTTGTTGAGGGACGTCCTTCCGCACCTGGGTTGGAACAGGTGCAGCTGGCGGGACACCGCCGCAAAGTACGACACCAGCCACCGTCGCTGCGGTACGTGGCGGCAGCGCGCCAACACCAACGCCACCCCCGCCAAATCCCCTGGACTACAACAACGAGCGGCGGCCGCGGCAGTAGCAGTTGCAGTGTTGAATGTATTACCGGCAGTAGCTGTATGTACAGGTACGGCAATAACAGCCGCCGTGGAGGTACTGCCGTACAGCGCCGCTGCTCCCAGTCCCCCCTGGAGCAGTAGCGCTACAGCTCGTTCCGGCAGTCGTACACCCATTCTGGACAGCCCCCACAGCGTGTTGACCAGGCTCTGAAAAGGCGCTCGGGGAAAGAGCGGGGGAATGGGTGAGGGGTGAGGGGTGAGAGTTCATCTCCCTCATCTCCCATACATACATACATACATACGTACATACATACATTCAGAAAGACAGACAGTCGTACGCATACCTGCGGTCCCATCCTCCTCCGCAGCCGCAGAGCCCGGGTCACCAGTTCCTGCAGGAGGTTTAGTCCGGGTCGTACACGTAGTACGGCAAGGGACCAACAGACAACGGAAACATCCTGAGGGCGGGAGGGGGGAGAGAAAGGAGGAGTCGGAAGGGGGGTGGAGGAGTAAGACGAACCCACAGACACAGATAGTGCTGCCAAAGGATGATAAAAGGTACCGACCAGTAGTGGTGACTTGGGGGGGGCAGTAGTAGTAGTAGTCTTTTCGCGGCGACGTGGCCAGCTAGCTAGCTAGATTGCGAAACGAGTTACCAGCAGCTGCCGGGACCAAAGGCGGAGAAAAAGCGAAACAGCGAAATGAAAATGACTACCTAGCGCCACGCCAAGATGAACGAGGTGGAAAGTCATAAAGAAAGCATGGAAAAGGAAAGGAAAGGAACCCTAGGGCAGCAACACGCTAAAGGCGGCAAGAAGAGCAAAGGGGGGCTACCGATAAAGTGGAGGCGTGGAGGCGTGGGGGGAAGGGGTTTGGGAGATGTGGGTTTGGGCATGATGTCTTGTCGTACTCAGCTAGATTGCGAGGAAAAGGCCTCCAAAGCAAGCGGATCCTAAATAAGCCTGCTGCCGATCCAATCAATTCCACCTTGCGATCGAATGACAGCTCTCTGAGGATTTCAAAAACAATTTCCAAAACGACCAAGACAGATAACAAGAGTTAACTAACTAAAGTACTGAGACGTCCATGTCTCCGGGCGATAGTCGCCGCCCTCTCCCTCTCTTTTTGTCCCCCCCCCCCCGCCCTCCACGTCGGTATGTCTGTCCACCCTCACCACTTCTTTTTGCCGAAACCAAACCCAAAACCCGCTCGTCCCACCTGCACCGTCATGTACGGCGCCCGGTCTCTAAGCTGACCCTCCATAAGATCCAACCAGGCGCGCCGCGGCAGATGCCGTACAACTGCTAACCCCCACAACAGATTAACCAACTCGGGTGTGGAGAAAAACTGTGGGTGTGGGTGGTCGTGGTGGAGGCGGGGGGGGAGAGGGGGAGGGGAGTTCGGGGGTGAGAGGGCGGGAAGGGGTTTGTGCCGGAACGATAAAGTTCAGTAAATGTTGGCGGACTGAGAACTCCGATGAAGGGCCTGAGCGGAAACGGAGCGAGAGAGGAAACGGCATAATGATGATGATGATGTCGATGATGATGTTGTTGATGTTGACGTTGTATGATGAAAACGATGATTTTGTTAGCGATGATGATGATGATGATGATGACGACGATGATGACGATGATTACAGGCGAAGAAAAGGTGCAACAGGAGCCAACAGTTTCCCCCCTTCCTCCCCCCCTCACTCTTGACTCCTCCCTTTCTGCCCCGTCCCCTCTCCCCTCTCCCCCCCCCTTTCCCCCTCTCCCCACCCCACCAGACGCCTCTCACCTCCATCACCCGCCCACTGGCTGCCTCCACCCCCTCCAACCACGCTAGAGGCGGCCGATAGCCCAACCGAGCTACAGCCCAGACGCTATTGGACAGCGACTGGGATTGGAAACTCGCCAAACGTACGGCAGTCAGTTGGACGAGCAACCGATCCAACCAGATTTCCAGGGACGGCGGTTGGGCTTTCTGGATGTCCGCGGATGTGGATCGGAATGACGAAGTGCTGTCGGTGGAAAAAGGGGCTACTGAGGGCCGTTGCGGCGGCGGCGGCGGCGGCGGCGGCGTTGGCCGCAAGTACGGCTCCAGATTGGCCAGAGACCAGAGTACCATAGATACGTCCTGCGGTGTTCCCGCCGATCCCAACCTCAGCTCGTCCAGTCGTACAAACAGCTCCGGAACCGCTCCCTCCGGAAGCCCTAACCGTAACTTGGCACTGCTGTGCAGTAGCTGTGCCACATCTCGTAGTCCGGCCGAATCCAGCTGCGCCAAGAGCCGAGTCTGCAACAGCCGTGCTGCTGATGCTACTGCCGTCTCGGTGGTTGATGACGTCAGCAGGTACGGCGGAGGTGAAGTGTGCTCGAGGCGCGCCAGCGCCGATAGAAGACTGGCACAGTCTCGCGGCGTTAGGGACGCCCCCACCGCGGCCGTGGTGGTGGCGAAGGCGGCGAAGGTGGAAGAGCCAGTGGGGGTTCCCAGAAGGAGGATGGAGACAAGGCGAGAGGCTGCAGCGTGTGCGGCTGCTGCCGCCGCCGCCACAGAGGCTTCACTGCTGCTGCCGCGGCCGCCTCCGGCGGCCGCCACTACCGCGGGTGCTGTGAGGCGGCTCAGACGATTCAATGCCGCGTCAAGGTGCCGTACGTTTAAGCTGCGTTCATGGTCTCGGAGCAGCTGCAGCAGGGTGTCAAGGTCATTGGCACCGAGGATGGCACGGAGGATGGCGCGGGGATCGAGAGCCGCAGAATGGCGCGGAGGTGCGTTTTCCGGGTAGGGTGAAGGATACCGTTGGAAGAAATGATTGGTGTGAATGCGCGGCGGTGTGAGGTGGCGATGTTGAGGAGACGAGGCGTCATGCTGAAGGCCGCTGCAGGACGCGTCCGTCCCCGAAGCGGCCTCTGATATCACTGCAATATGTTGAGGGTTTTGAGATTGATTGCGGGGCTGCTGGTTTGGGATAGGCCGGACGTCACCGAAACGGCTGGCTGCAGCGCTAGGTAGCGAATGTCGTCCCGCAGTAGACTCCAAGTGGAGCCCAACAATTGTGCTATTGCATCCGGATCGAAGTTTGTGCAGCTGAAAGACGCTTCCATTTGCTATTGCCTGCGGAGCACTTCGCAGCTGGCCGGTTGGTCGAGACTGTCCGAACCCATTCATATGAATAGCATATCTTCTTCGTAATCATATTTTCTTCATAACAGCAAGGTAAGTGTTCGTAAGTGTCGGCAATAGTCAGCTGTCGGCGCCTGAAGCTAGATACAAGAGCAGTCCTACTATGTTTGCAAAGCCGCTTTTGCAAATTAAACGTGAATCAAATGCATTTACGACCGCAGCTAGGCCTTGGGCGGGTTACAATATTCGGTTCCGTAGGTTTATTTGAAGCTCAGAGCAGTCTTTTCAGCAACTCCGGTGCATAGTGTAGATATCAGTATATGCACCAATGTATAGACAAGCTACTTCCCACTGCCGGTCGAACAGTATCTGTCTCAATACCGCTAATAATGTCGTACCATTACTCAGAGCAATACGACGACCTTCTTATCTTCTACCTCAGCTTCCGACCTTACAGGCCCAAGCTTTACCATCATCACAGCAGCGTTCGACACCGTCGCTCGGTATGAACTGAGTTATTTCGCACCAGCAACGTCGGCATTCATGAGCAACAGACCGCCGTGGCATTCGTCCGCCAGGTGCAGGACCCACTGGCTCCAATCCTTTGATGTGAACATGTCGTGTGGTGCTCAGGGGTTCCTAAGGCCATGATGTTGTGCGAAGCGGCCCTAGCAGTGTCCATGCCATAGACATGGCCCAGTCATCCCACCCCGCATGCACTCCAGGCCTTCCTCCGTATTTTGAGTCGATCACATACCACAAGCAGCTCGAGTCGGTCCGTCGATCCTACGCATGTGCTGTAGGCATAAAAATATGCCGTACAAGCCCTCAAAAACAAAAAGGGCTGCCGACACGCTTTCCTTAAGACCATATCCCAACACCACACAAGTACTTTGAATTGCATACAAAAAACGCATTCAAAGCACCTGTTGATGCCGTACGCATGCTCGACCGTACACGCGCACAACTAGAGTTGTCGACTAAAAATCGTGATATCTTGTATTCTTAATACCGTAATACCACATCTTCCATAAACCAAAAACAATCACCGCATCGTGTTTCAAGAGCGAGTGCGAGAAAGAGGAAAATCGCTCATGTCTTTAAGCAGCTCTCAAGCAAACGATATGCAGGTACGACTGCCGAATAAAAACTCCGTACAACTCCAAAATGCGAAGGCCACAGCCGGCCGCGCAAAGGTCAGCTCTCGAAAGCCGAGAACGCGGGCTTGACACGTATGTGCGTAAAATTCGCGGGCGGGCGAAATTCGATCGGGAGCTGAAGCGGCTTGAATATCATGCCCAAAATGTGAAGCCCATTGGCGAGCCGCGCAAAAAGGGTCTGACCTTTTCAAGAGCCAGGAGTGCTGGTGGGATAAACATTATGCGTGTGGAAAATCGCGGGCGGGCTTTGACGGACGCCGGTTTGGCTGCTGTGCGGACCGGCCAGCGGGATGCCCCGCTACTGCGAAACGCCACAGCGTGAAGCAGCGTGAAGTCGAGCGGGCGCGTCCGCAGGTCATTTGGCATGCAGGAGTGCACAGAATCATTGAGCTGCTTTAATACTGGCTGCTTAGAGAAAATAATACTTCAATAAAACAATAATACAAACAATAATAGATAGGGACAGTCGGGGAAAAAAGGGTTGCTTTAACTGATGAGCTGCTGAAATTTTGATATAATAATGAAAAGATAAGGAACTTCGCTTGCATCGTTTGATGAGAGACATGGCGACAAGGCAATAAAAAACAGGCATGAAAAGTATGGACCTCACAAGCGCGATACAGGCATGGGCAACGTACAACGCCATTCCGGCAACCACGGTGCCACAGATGCGTTTTGGCGTTCAGAGCTTCGCCTTCCAAACAGACGCATTCGCACTTCACCCCAGTCCAATACGGCAGCCATCAGCTATATCTACAGTTCCTTCAATCCTTCCGTAGCCAAACCTAATAATACGCGGCCAGCTGCTTCACCAGATACCCACAATGATTGCAAGTAGTGATAAGGAAAAACGGTTACGGGACTTGCCTTTTGATACTCAGTAAGGAGTGCATGTGTCGCTATCGGCAGGTGGCGTCTTGTCCGTGGACCGCGAGGCTATGCAAGCGGCGTACGGCGAGTCGTGCACGGATCCTGTCGAGGTTCTCCGTGGCAGGGTGGAAGTGCCTGAGATGCTGAAGATGCAGCTTGAAGAGCTCCACGCCCGCATCGCGAAGCTCTCAGAAATGCACGCCTTGTAAGGAGTGGGAAACATTTTAAAGTATTAAAAAGCGACGTTTGGCAAGAATTGCAAAGCCTGAATAAGAATGGTTCTTTGAAGCACGAAATAGCTCATCTTTTGATTCTTTTTGTGGCCGCCTGTTTTTGGGGAGATTATATTGCGTATAATAATGAAACTGAAACAATCACCGCATCGTGTTTCAGGAGCGAGTGCCATAAAGAGGAAAATCGCTC